ACAAAGGTGAAGTTAGATTCCGACCTATATTTAGTGTAACAGTATAATATACAGCACCATTTCTTCCCTGGTGGTGAGGTTTCGAACTTTCTTTTTTTCGCAGAAAATAAATTCCCATGACCTCCTTTACATGGTTATAAATTTTGATAACATTTGATCCAGTAGTTTTCCATTTATGACCGTTTCAAAGTGAAACTTTAATTATAACTACCCTGTATATTATTAAATTTTAATTTGAAGCTATGCGTTATATGTATACTATGCGTAAGATTTTCGCTTTTATGGAAAAAATAAAGAATCGAAGCAAATATACTTAGGATAATGGACCAAAACTGAAAAAATTCCCCTCCCTCCTAAAATAAAATATTGAAACTTCGACCTTGAATTTATTGGATTATCGAAATATTCAATTAGACTTATCTTCTAAGTCCTAGTTCCGACAACAATTCCGTCAAAAATTCCGAATTACTTAAGCTGAAGCAAAATATTTAGTATATATTCACTGTATGTTAATAAAGTAATCAGAGTGTAATAAAAATAGATTATAGAATTTACGCTGATGCAACTTTTTGTCTGACTGCACAACATGTAATGGAAGAGAAGGCTTGTAGAGATCTGCTTTTGAAATGCCTCTAAAAGTAGATATCATACTCCTTTTGTCTCTTCAATGTCAAAAAAACTTTCCTTTGAGAGGCAACTTTAATTTTTGGGGAAGAAAAAAAATCACAAGAAGACAAATTTGAAAAACATGCAGGACGACTGAGTACACATACTTATGACCGAATACAAGCGGCTCTCCGATTGGTTATTGAATAATGAAAAGATGCATTGTCATGCAATACAAAACATTTGGAATACGTTTTCTGACTGAATAACGCAAAATTAAAAGTCATCTTCTTAATTCACAGCCATTTAAATGTCAACTACTTGGGCAATAGCAGAATCATTTTGATTTTGAGCTTCTAACACAAACCTAATATCACTGGATTTAAACACTTCTTTAATCTTCCGAGAACATTCCTTCTTTATCTCATATTCCAAGAAATATTAAGTGAATAGAATTATTGCAAAAGAAATTGAATATTCATTTGCACTACGGCTTGGTAATTTACTAAAGAGTTAACAAAACTTAAATTCTGCTTTTTGTGTCTAAGAATACAGCAATAGTTTAAATATTTACAAATAAAATATTAAATTGGAGATTTAATTGGAGCCTCACCAGTTGCCTAGCATTTGGAGATTGTTAAATACTAATTGTTTGTTGCGAAGTCTAAACCAGGCTGCATGGTTGGTTTTCGTAGTTTTCTAGGTTCTCTTTGCAAAGGTTCTCTATGAAAGCATCTTAACCAAATAGCTCCCATGTTATTTCTATGTTCAAACAACAAACTAACCTTGATCCAAAGCGCGATTTCCAAGTGAAGTTACTAGCAAAATCCGAATACTCATCAAAAATCATATAGCTTTCCAATCGAGAGTAACATGAAAGATACGGCGCCAATAATTGAATTGCTGTTGCGGTACGCTGTTTCTAAACTTAGATGGTCATTCCTTAATTAAATATAATTGATTTGTAGCTTCTACTAGTGCTGGCGGTAAGAATTGAAGTGCAAATAAATAATATCGTGTGTAATCTTGATTAATATAAAATTAGAAATTTTTGCATTCAGACAGTTTTTTGAAATATTTGCAATTACTTTATAAGAAGGATTTATTAATAACCGTAATAATTACTTATTATATTACTGATGATTAGAATTCAGTTCTTGACAATTACATTCTAAATTAGAATTTTAAGGATATAATGAAAATACGCTACGCACAAAAATACATTTTAGGATAAAAAATGAGTTGATTTTTTATGTTTTAAAACTTCTTAAATTCATTTAATAAACATCGTACCCTCGTTGTTAATTGAATCCAGAATGTTGGGTGTCGTTTATATAATTATTCTTACTTGTCCACAGAACCTGATGACTTATCCAGCCATTAAGTAGCTGCAGATCATTTCTACATAACCATTGAACTTCCATTAATTCGGTCTCTAGAGGGTTGTATGTTTATATCATAATTGACTTGTATAAAAATGATTATTCTAAATCTTATGTTTTTATAAAAATATACTGTGCTTTAAAAATATGGATGATAGTATCAGCCGCTCTTTCTGCCACTTCATAAGCAACAGTTTCTTCATAAATAAATTATGCAGTTAAAATGTCAAATATTTCATAAAATTCAAATAAACATCAAACGAAAATTCTCAGTTTTAGACAATTCGATTTAAACGAAGTAAAGTAGCAGACGATAAAAACGCCGAAGGTAAAAATTTACTCTTACAAAAAATTTACTCATATTTTTTTTTTAAAAAAAGGAAGAAAGAAAAATTAAAAAAAAAAAAAAAAAAAAAAAAGTTAAAAATTTGAATAATATCATCTGTAATTTTTTAAAAAATAGCTTTTAGTATAGTATTAATAAATATTTATAACGCATCATTGAGGGAAAATATTTCATATAATTAATTCTCCTTAATTACGTATATTCATGTTTGTGAATATTTCAGCACTTTAAAAATCATGCGAATAAACTGAAAATTCAGAGCAATGTATGATCTGTAAATGATTACTATTTCAGATTGATAGCGCTTGCTCGTGCTAATATTTTTCAACAATCCTGTTAGCCGTAGGAATAGAGCGCTGTAACGGAACGTTGGAAATAATGTTTCATTATCTGCCAGCACTAAATGTTCCAAAAGAAATACCTATGCAATGTTGACGACAAAGAATAAAATAATCAGCAAGTTACGACGCCGTTTGAATGTGGAGAATGATCAGCTTCATAAAGGGAAATTTTTAGATCATGAAATCGCAACTCATAATGAGGCAATAGATGGTGCCGGTGATGCGTGTCTCACCAGTAGTGAGCTCGAAAGAACCGGACAAGTCACAAACCTGAAACCTGGAAGTGGATTATGAAATGCTATATTAGCAACGGATGACAGAAACATCAGTCAAATGACAGTGATGAACCATACAGGATTTGGATAATTAAAACAACGTTGAAGCTATGCTACAAGTGTACCATTGTAGCTTCAACAGTTCGCTGGCTTCTGCTGTGCGATGAATTGGGCATTGCGTAATGCATTCCTTTGCACAGATTCTCATGACCAACCATTAATGCCTGCGACTACGATGGGGTCATCAAAATTGCAACTACCGTGTTAATTAGCAATAGATCGCTTTTTTTTTTTTTTTTTTTTTTTTTTTTTTTTTTTTGCAGCGGCATATTGAACAGCTGTCATGTGTGATGGTGTGCAAGGCCGTTGCGTATGATAGGCAATTCCCTCTTCTGAGAGCTAAAGGTTACTCACGCCAACAATTGCTATACCATGAAAGCTAGGGAACTTAAATCGTACCTTTCGTTCAACGCATTTCTGGAACTGTATTTGAAGAGGACAGCGCTAGTCTGTTTACGTGTTGCCAGAAGTGATCAAGCACTCTTCTCAACATGTTACACTCAGCTTTTCTTGGTCTATCGTTCACCATTCATTAAAAACAACTAGAATTTTGAAACCCTGCAAATTTATTTAAGACACATTCAGTACATTTATGAAGCATTCAATGCATTTATGACGCATTCAGGGACATTATGATGCATTCAGTAAAAATGATTCCTTAGATACACAACCAAAACATGTTTGATTGAAAAGAGAAATTAGTAGGAGTTCTCACTGCAGTAAATGATATTTTATATTTAATATTTTTGTATTGCTTTTAATAGTTTCTTTGTACTACGGAAATATATATGAAATTCATTCATGATGATGCAAAGTTCATAAACATGAAAATATTAAAATTATTAGCGTGCCTTGAAATACAATTGGAATGAATCAACCGTACCAGGCATAATTTTGAAACACATATCTCTCCTTCACTTCCCTTTTATCGCCTGCGAAAAGAAAATGGTTTTAGAATTCCTACTAAGAAAAACTTCTAAAAAGGTTGCGAAATTCAAATTATACTTAAATCTTTCTAAATATATTACAAGATACAATTAAAAGCGCAATCAAAACTTTCTCCTTTGTTAAAATAGGAGATTTGTTTCATTTTATGATATTTAAAAAAGTTCTAGGAATACACTGAAGCACATAAAACTAATATCATCTTATTATAAAAACTTGATATCACCCTTTTGTTATGGAAAATGTTGTAAAATTAAAAACTGAAGCTAAATTTTTTATTTAAAATATCCTTACCATTAGCATTAATGATTTCTTCGTAAAAAAGGAAAAGAATAGAAAAAATTATCCCTTTACTGCATGAAAATGGAAGCAAAAATGAGTCTCAGTACATTAAGGTAAATTCAGGCAATTTTGCTAATTCTAAATAAATTAAAACAGTCACGGATATATCTTTATAGGGAGAATGCACTCTTTTGTTACGTTTGAATTATTAATTTATAGGTACCAGTAAGCATATGGAAGTGCTGTTATATATAATATAAGCATAACTACATTATAAAAGTTAGTGAAAGAACTTCATGAAAAATTACTTAAGTTTTTAAAGCGCGATTTTTTTTAGTTTAATTAAAGCTGATTTTTTTTCCATTTAAAATGTTTCCAGTTAAAATGCTTTTAGAACAATTAAACGGATGCATAATGAATCTGTCGTTAATGAGAAATATGAAGTTATCCGCATTGCAAATATTTTAAATAAAGTAACATAAATTTAACATAAGTAATTCTAAGCATGAATAAGTTATTATGTAATAAAGTAATTTTATTTCATTAGTTAAGGAATACATGTAAAAAAATTAGCTCTTACTTTTTTTTTCCATTTTCGCATAAATTACTATTATACTTTAATTAATTTAATGTAAAATAGAAATGTTCAGTTCTTTAATCTGTAATTGTGCATATGCAACGTGAAGAGGTTTTAACTTCATGCTTCAAAGAATTTTTAATTTGCTTTATTAAAAACTTTAGTATATCATATTGTATTTTGCAGGTTTTTATGGTAAGAAATGCGAAGAAATGTGTCCACCTGGCTGGTATGGAGATGGTTGCATATATAAATGCCAATGTAAAAATAATGGCATATGTCATCATGTGACTGGCGAATGTATATGCCCTCCGGAATACATTGGATATTACTGTGAAACTAGATGTTTAGTACGTACTATATTTTATATATTTACATTTTTTAAAGTTGTCATGATTTTACTGTTTAAAGCTCATTTATTATTCACCGTTTATCGATTAGTTAACGTAGGCAAGATTACTGGGAAATGGTAAAGCCCACGTGTGACCCTAAGGGAAGGTTGGCTTTGCGGAGGACTTTTTAAGGGAAACTGTCTGGCTCTCACGTATACAAAGGAAATCCACGAAAACCTACCGCGCTGTCTGTTTACCTGGGCTTGAACTTGTGTCGAACTCCCAGTAATCAGTGGTCTTAGTAACTCTCCCTCTTTTTGGGGCTAGTTACTGGTTAGATAGGAATTTGAAAGTTTTCAGTTGGTTTGGTTAATTTAATTATGCCAATGCACACTAGGGCTATTTGCTTAAGGGCAGAGATGCCTTCGTGGAAGACTTTCTAAGGGAAATTGGTCGTATACATGTTACACATGGGGAAAACCAGAAAAACGGCCATACAGCCAAGCACGTTCGCGGGATTCGAACCTCGGACTGAACTACTAGTGTTCAGCTACATTATCGCTCGGCCGCTGGCGAGCATCAAGGTCTTCAGGTAAATGTAAATTTGGAAATTTTCAGAAAAAATGATGGTCTTACATATGTGTGACAAATTTGCATCAAACACATTATACGTGTATATAAATATTTTAATGCGGTTGAACATTATATTGAATAAATCCAAAAAATACCTGATATTGCTAATCATAATTTTAATAGTCAATACTGATGTCCAAACTGTAAACTTTACAGTAGTCGGTGAAAGAAACAACATATAACCATAATAAATTTTGCGCGCACAAGAGTTCTGTGCACAGGAAAAAGCTCGCAAGAATAAAAATACATGCCAGCAGTTTTTAAAGAGAAAAAGTGTTAAGTATAAAAATGACGTTGTGCAGATTCTTTTTCTGAGAGTTTTGATTTGAAAAGAATAATCGAAATAGCCAGATTTCAGAAAGTAAATAATTGTCTCATCTGAATAACAAGCAAATCATAAGAGGCTCCAAGGCATATAGGTAGGGGAAAGCAAATATAACGCAAGTCCTAAGGGTCCTGAAGCTGCATGTAGAACTTTATTAAAATGAAGTAACTATGAAGCAAAGGCCATTGATTGGATGTCTGGGATTTTTGTATCTACAAGAACGAGGACATAGTACAGCACAGAAACTTGCTTCCGATGTTGCAACGTCGAAAAAAAGAGCCACTAACAGGTTACAGACTGATGTATACATGCTAGCATTCAAGACGCAAGCTGTTTGTGCACCGCTTACGCAGAAGGGCCTGCTTATACTGATTTCGCGATTACCTCAGCTGACTTCCCAAAGGCAAATTTTAGATTTTATGGTTGAATCATGGTAGGGTCTACGGATACGTATCACAATGTTTATTAGCTTAATAAGGAACTCACTATCGTGAAAGTAACAGAGGTGACATGCGCAAATACAGAGGCGGTGGTTTGATGGTGTGGGCAAGGACTGTTATCAGTGGTCGCATTGAACAGCTCATTTTCTCTTGAAGTACCATGACTAAAGCGCAAATGCTTGTTGACTATGCCCCCTATTTTTTGTGACTGTAGAACTTAATGCGAGTTTTCTGGATTAACGATTGGTATGTACAAGTCAAAAACACGAGTTCATAAGATTCGCATTATCGGCAGTACTACTTTGACGACCCCCAATTGAATTGTTTAGAAATTGTTTAATTTTTCTCAGGGACACTTTTATTCTTTTGTTGAAAGGAGACAAAGCTGCATATTTACAAAAATAAGTAATTTATTTCAAGGGGTCTGGAACACATCGGTGGTACTTCCCTCATTAACGCCACATCGTAAACTAACTAATCTTGGTTTACAGAAGAGAATAACCCTCTAAAGGAATGATAAATTAATCGTTTGAGTATTTTCTCAACACTCTCCACCTGATAAGTTTGCAAAAAATATCACTGTTTGAGTATACAAAAACAGATGAATTCAAATGTAAGAAAGCAACTTGTAGTCTATAAAATTAACACAAATAGTTAGCAGTACAAGAATTCAAACTTACTCAATATGTAATTAGTAAATATAATTACAAACAGTAAGTTATAAAATAACTCAGCTAATTGACTAAAAGTTACTGAAATAAATACTAAATAATAATTACTGAAGTAAACTGAAATATAAGAACATTAAATAAAAATTGTTAATTCAATTTATTTTCAGTCTGATAGTTCAAGGGGATTAATTGCACAGGCCTCTCAAAGTCTTCTCTTTTAATTTTTACTACACATGATCGTACAGCATCATCACATCCTTAAAAAATTTTAATTATTATATCTAGATCCCATAGGAACTTAGATTTGGCTGTTTATTTAAATAAAACTATGTCACCAACTTTAAAATTCTTAATTTCTAGTGTACAAAAGAAATGATTATTTCTTAAATCAAGAAAACTGATTTTTTCCAACTCTGTTTTACAAGTGTCGTCCGATACTGTTTATGTTTCGTTAGACTTTCTTTTGTTGCACTAGTTTTCTTGATCTCAGCAAAGTTTTATAGGTACTCAGTTTTATGTCTGATCAGTAGAAATCAGCTGTTAGAAGCAGTTGAGTTTCAGGTAAATTAGTGTAAACAAGATTTGACAGTATCAGGTCACGGTTTGTCAGATCACAATATTTTCGATTTCTCTCAGCACAGTCATAAATTCTCCAAACTTCTGTTCAGCTATGACTAAAATCGTTTTTAAATGTTCCATAATGTTCTTCATAAGTCTTTCGTAGAATCCTCTCCCCATGGCGTAAGCTCCAAAATAAATGCCCAAGTGAAAGCCTTCAGGTGCAAGACAATTTCGAAAGCCTTTTCTTTAATTATGGAGTAACATATGGTAAATCTTTCGCAACATATTTAATTGTTTTTGCGTTGTCCGAATAAAAAGTGCTCTCCCTCAGATGAAACGTTAGAGAGCCACAATGTATTTATTTGAAGATATATTGGAAACGAATCTCAGATACAACACTCGTGTAACAGATCGCGTAAACACCACGATATATGAGTTTTGAATGCCGTTCCCAGATTTGACGTAAAGAGGACCTGTGGAATCCATACCAGTGGCGTAGATAAGTGGTGTTTCTGCACTCCCGGGTTTTTTTAGGTAACTGAGCTGTTGTTCGTTTCGCTGGCTTTGCTGCGTATTTTCGACATATCAGATAGCTTTTCTTGAGTTTCTTCGCCAACTGGCGGACTTTAGAAATCCAAACCATTTGTCGTACTATTACTAAAGTTGCAGCTATTCCTACTTGTAGAACTTTGTTATTTTCTCTCTGATACATGCATTCAGATTCTTCATTATTTAATTTTTTAACATAACATTTTGATAACATTTGATGACAACCATCTGAAAATTGATTCGGACACAAAAGGGATACGAACGAGCAACGTTTCGAAAATAATAGCACTTCCTTTGCTTAGAATTTTAATTTATTTCAATGCATTTGCTGTTTTACTGATTGTGTATGTAACGATTATAAAATTCAAACTTTTCTTTTTCTTTAGTCTGGAAATTTAGATCGAAATTGTAGTCAACACTGCACATGTAATGATTCTTCAGTATCATTCACTGACTTAAATGGAGGCTGCATCTGTTCTTCAAGTTGGCATGGTAAGTAACATTATTGTCATTTTCTCTCAAAATACCAGTTCAGATCTTTGTGCAAAAGAATCAAATATTATTAATAATGTATTATGAATTGATCTAAGTTTCTATTAAAATGTGTGTTTTTATTATCTGAGTTTGTTTCAGGCGCGTCATTTAGATCTGGTGAAGAAGCCTTTCCTTTTGGAGTAAAATATGACTACTTTGCACCTGCTATTTTAAATAAAAGAAGTCACTATTTCTATGTACGGTATGAGACCCAGGAAAGGTTAGCCAATGAATTAAGACTTCAAACTTGAAGGGAAAAAAAGAAAAGAACTCAGTATTATTTTTAAACCGTTTAAATAAACATCTCGAGAAAAACTTTTTGCGAAACGTTCATGAAACCCCGTGTAGACTAATAGGAATGCAGTTATATTTTTTCCCCATGAATGATATATACTTCCTTCTTTAAAGTGGACTCCAGATTACTTTGAAAAACCGCATTTTGAAGGCTTTATTTCGAAAGCAGTTTTTATCGAGCTAAAATTTACAAGGCCGTCCTTACTTAAATACGCGTTCTACTTTTTGTGGTACTTTCATATCTGATGTGTACTTGTGGCTTACAGAAATGAAAAAGATAATATAACTTGCGGAAAAAATACCACCTGATCTTGACCGTGATGTCAAGAGTTATTACAAGTTTATTATTGGTATGAGACAAAACTACAACTTTCTGTTATCTAAAATTGGAAATATGGATGAAACTCCCATGATCTTCGATTTGATAAACAAAAGAACTGTGAAAACAAAAGGCGTAAAAACTGTTCAAGTCAGAATTACAGGCCACGTAAATACCAGATTTACAATAGCAGTATTTGCATGCATGGCAGATTGAACAAAATTAAACACATGGTGTTTGTCAAGACAAAAACTAATCTTAAAATAAAATTCCCGCCAGGCATTTTCGTACATTTTCTTGAAAATGGATGGATGGACGAGACTGGTGTAAAATAACTAAATTATTTAAAAACATTGTTTTGTGTTACATTTACGTAACTATGTTTTTTCTTAGTGGAAAAACTAAGAAATAAGCTAAAATGAATCGTATAAAACCGATATGATATTCTGAAAGATATTTTACCAGGTAAAAAATATTATCACACATACTAGGGCCGATGGCGTAATTAGCTATAAGAAGATTTATAATTGATACAAAAGCGCATGTTTTAAGTTTAAGTATTCCCTGCCTTGTGCATAGCTGTATCTTATCATCTTTCTCAATCAAAACTGAATGCGGATTACCTTAATTAAAGTGGCATGCATTTAAAAATATTTTTTTCTAATTGCTTGACATGATAATGTGATATATTTAGATTTGCATAGATGCATTGATTGTATTCATTGCATGAGATTTAGCCATAACATTCTTTTGTAAGTAAAGAAAGGAACGTAGGTAATACGAGTAATTTGATGCAATTTTTCACAAGATTAGCTGTGTATCATTGAAATTTTACTTTTATTACAGGAAGCCAAGTACTGGGAAATATGCTCTCAAATTTACTTTTGAAACTGCTGTACATTACGAGCAGTTCTGCAGTTGTTGCTACACTCCTTCTATTAATACTTATTTGTGTGCTGTTCAAAAGCAGAAAGCAAGGTGCAACTAATGTGACCATGGCTGAGTAAGTGCTACTATACTTTCATATGCTTCTCTTCTTAATTTATTTTCAATACGCGGCCGCAATCCCGGCCAACGGGCTGGCTGCGTGGCCGTTTTCGTGGTTTCTTCCATGCGTAATGTGTATACGAGCTAGTTGCCTTAATGGAGAAGGCATCTCTCCATTAAGGCGGATAGCTCTCCAATGCTTTGTCATGATCAAAATAAACCAAAACCATTTTGAATAGGATATAAAATCAACAAACATTGATATATACATAGGTGCTCATAAAAGAATTACGCAAATAATTCTTTAATTAGGAAATGCAATGACTTTCAGAATCAAAGTTTATAGTAGAACTTTTGCTTATTGTGCAAATACTTTAAATCTTCACAGAATGCCATTATTTATACTAATTATAAACCATTGACCACGAAATCATATTTCTGCTCACAGATATATCTGCACACAGAATATGCGAATAAGATAAACGAGAGCAGATCATAAAAGGAAACTTGTTCGACATCGTGCACATCCCAATAATTTAGTCTTTTGTTATTGCTTCTTCGTATCTTGAATGTTCCCATAACTCCTGTTTCTTCGTCGACTGCATCACCGCTCTGTTTCTTCCTGAACAGTTGACACAACACGTAGATCGGTTTATATTTTACTTGCAGACCGAGCAATATGCACTTTTATGATGTGCTCGAAAGTACCCTTAGAACTCTTTCCGTCCGGTGTTTGCTGTATCTCCGCACAACAAATAATATCGACGAAATATCTAGACTTCATATAATGTAGCAGTATTTCTAATTTTAAGGGTTATAATTTAATGTTCGGTAATGCAAGCTCAATCAATCTTTTTTATCACTCACGAATTATTGGAGCGCGCCTCTTGCATTCGTTGGATTGTTGTGAGTTCAGTCTGATATTCTTAGAGAACATTTTCGCCGAATGTCAGCTCTAAAGCATTAAATAAGACGTCAGCAAATAGACTAGAAGAGAAACACGCTAATGTGACAATCAAAATCGTAAAAACAACCTTGTATTTAGCGTAAGTATATTGAAACATCAATCGATTTCGAGGGCAGCTAAAGGTCCCTCCTCATCAGGAGAAAGAAATACCTAGAAAGAAGAAAAATAAAGGCGAAGGAGTCAATCAGATTTTAACTCTGATTAAAAATCCGGTTATAACCACGTGCAGTGCTGATAAGGACCACGTGTTTCTGAGACTCCTTCCCCTTTATTTTTCTTCTTTCTAGGGGGCTGGCTGCATGGGCGTTTTCGTGGTTTTCTCCATGTGTAACGTGTATACGAGCCAGTTTCCCTTAAGTCCTCCACGAAGGCATCCCTCCCATTAGGCAGATAGCCCTAGTGCGCTTTGCCATAATTAAATACACACACTCTTCTTTCTAGGTATTTCTTTCTCCTGATGAGGAGGGACCTTTAGCTGCCCTCGAAATCGATTGAGTGTTTCAATATACTTACGCTAAATACAAGGTTGTTTTTACGATTTTGAACGTCAGCAAATGTTTCGGCCAGACACTGACCTCTGGCTTCTCTTTTTATGCTACCCGGCTTTTCTTCGTATAGCTGCAGTGAAGTGTAAGGCTTCGGAGAGGATACTTCATTATTGTTTTTATAAAATCATTTCAAATTACGTTTTTTATATATTAAACGACGGTTTTCCAGTTTTCAATTTCCAGTACACGAAGTTTAAAATTTCCCGCCGATTTCGGTTTGCCGTCATTCCTTCGACAAGACAATCCATCGGCAGCTGATTGGCAGTGAGCCATTTCGCCTTCAAGTTGAAATGAAATGCGTAATAAAGGTTCCTTATAATATGTATATAATTGTTTACATATATGGGTGTGACGAAATTATAATTAGAAAATTATGTCAATATCGCATACAGCAAAATTATCGCAGTTCATAATTATGGGCTAAATCTCCGAGATGTTCTGTTATGTTATCTTTTCTAAAATTATACAGATGTAACGTTCACACAATTCGTCATACTTTCTTGAAATTTGAATCACCTAGTTCAGAATATCACTCATGCAAGCTGAAACGTTCCATTTTTATGAAACCTTAATTGAAAATCTAATTACTTTGGAATCTTGTTAGCACTTTATTTTCTTAAATATAATAAATAAATTGATATAGATATAATCATAAGTCAGCTTTTATGTAATGCATAACGATATATTTGTATAAAACTGCATACAAAAGCATTTTATATAATAGAGATTTTAATGCAAGGAATTTACTGAAACGTAAATGTTAACAAATCCTTTGGTTCTTTAAATAATAAAACTATAGAAAGATGTTTTGCGATAACATTGATTGTACAGCAAATTTTTGCTTGCCATTTCTTTTAAAATGCTTGCAAAAATTCGAGTTTTAACACAAAATCAAAATCAAAGACAAAATGAATGGTTTTTAATTATATAAAGAAAATATTCCTTAAATATTACCTTAAAATGATCGATTTATTTTGAAATATCCTTTTTTCCTCCTCCTTAATTTCCTTTTTATTAGAATGTTTTATTATGTTATATTTAATTTTTATACTTTGCTTTATTTCATTATTATGGATGATTTTTTTAATTATGTTTTATTTCATGTTAATTATGAATGCTTTTATTTATTGATTTGAATTTAACTAAATACTGCGTATCCTTAATGAAATTATAATTTTAGTATGTTTTAGAGCTTTAGAAGATGGCTTTTTTTGCGATTGTTTTTCTTTTAAAAGTTAACGCAACCAGAGGCATGCAATAGGTAAACGAAATAGATATAATAGAAGCTTGTAAAAATATAATATAGGCATGTAAAGAAAAAATATTTCTTGACGGCGAACTGGGCCTTTGTTCACGACGGCGAAGTTGCGATGGCGAAACGGCGGAGGTGAATAGTCCCATTCCTCTTATGGGTGGATAATGATAATGGAGAATAGGGAAAACATTAACAGTTTGAGCCAGTTACAGTCATTATGTAGTCTTATGGTCCAGTTTCTTGATTAGTGTAGAAACTTCAATCATTTCCTTGCCGACAGTAGTCATATCTAAAATTCTTTTAACTGAGTCTTGTCTTTCTTGGAAAAGAAACTGAAAGAGTTGTGAGTTCTGACATTATTTGTCGCAGGCTATAGGTTCTCTCTAAATCTATTAAAATAAGCGGCTAGAGAAAAGGAGAGAGGCCAAAAATTTATGTAGGCTTGAAGCGAATAATAGCTTCAATAGAAAAGATAAATTGTTAAAAATAGCTCAAGAAAAACAGAAAAATAAGCCATTGTCCCTTTAACAAACGCATAATATCGCAGATCATAAAATCATAAAATGATCCACGGAGCAAAGGGTAAAACAATAATCACGGAACGTTACGTTCCATCTCTCAAGAGTTTCCAGCAAACTAAGAGAGGAATTCGTATTTAAAAACTCTTAAGTAAACTGACTAAATGCCTCTTGACAGTATTTTTTTTTTTTTTCAAAATGGGGGGGGGTCATTACTGGAATCCTCGAGAAAAATTGTTAAGTCTTCAAGAATGCATTTTCTAAAAATTTCCAGAATTTCTTAAAACTGGCTAAAATCTTCCAAACGATAACAAAGCCAGGTGCGTTACCTTCAGCCCATTTCACCAACTCTCTGTAAGCTTTCTTCATAGTTTCAATGTTAGCCAGCTAAGATCTGAAACCTGTTGAATCAATTATGGATTAAACGCATAGGCATGCAGTAACAGTAGAAAATTCAAGATTAAACAAAATGAAGTTCAAATAAACATAAAACTAGCATTCATAATGAATTAAATAAACAAATCAAAAGAAATCAGAGCATGAATATAATTACAATTTGACACAAATGATTAAATGATTTACAATGGATAGGAGAAGGCCTAGGGATAGGAGAAGGACTCATCATACAATGATTTTATAATAATTCTTAATGTGGCGTGATACAAAATGAAGCATTTTATTGAAAATGTAGCACTCATTTAGAAGCAAAATAATAAAATGAAATATTTATCTTAAATTTTTATAAATGTCATAATGACCCAAGGCAGCAAATCTTATATACTCTTGTACGGTACTTTGGTTCTTTTAATGCCATAGTGACGACTTGCGTTTGGAAGGTGTTGTAAAAATGATAGAAGAAAAATACAGGAATAAGAAAATCATTTCTTAACAGAACAAAAGATAATAAAGAATTTGCATAAATAACCTGTAGATACAATTCGCGGCGTCTTGTTTTCAAAAAAGATAAGTATATATTTGTGGATGCTTAATCAAAAATGAACTGAGACTTTAGTAAGTGAATAAAATACTTCTTATTTAAAATTAATATAGGTTTGATAAAAATGTACGTTTGGGAACTAATATATATATTGGAAACTTATCTTTCTTTGTATTAATATGAGTAAGAAGGTGAGCTGAAATTTTAGACAGCTTTTCCAGTAATTATTTATTAGTTTGTTTCGTGCTTCGCCTACACAGAAAAGAAGAGAAGTCCCGTGGAGGACATTTTAAGGGAAAATGCCCCATATCAACTTTAACATGGAGAAAACCATGAAAACGCCCATACAGATAGCCCGTTCATCAGGACTCGATCCCCAGACGGAACTAAAAGTGGCCAGAGGCTTTTATTGTTCTCCCGCTGATGAGCCGGTATATTCCAGTATTGCGACATTTAATTAATTTTTTTTATTATTTACATTTTCAATATGCTAATTAATTTGTTTTAGCTTTACGTTTTTAAAAATTTATATTTTTACTGTTTGCTTTATATTCTTCGTTATTTTTCATGTAGTGATAGGCAAGTTTAATTTCGGGAAATGGGAACGAAATATGATGTTCTGTTTTGATATGTGAACGTATTTTATTAAATTGTTTAAGTTATAAATTATGGTATTATTACAATAACCATGCATCCATATACCGCTGTGTAATCTGTTACATTCTGAGTGCTTATATATTGATGCATTCTACAATCATATAGTAGTATTTGAATTATACATAAATGTTTCCTGGATTATGAAATCAATGCAGGAAAAACAGGAAGAAAACAGACAGCTGAAAACATAGTACAGGAGAAATTTAATAATCTTAGCTTAATTTAATAAATTGATTTATAGTAGGATGTAATGCATGTAATTTTTAGTTGTGTGGTAGTGTAGTTTCGAGCTTAGCTTTATATGAAAGGTAGTCAGTGACTTAAATGAGTATTTTCAAACTAAATTTTGTCACTGAATTCTATCTATTTCAGATGAAAAATCGCGAAACCCGAGTAGAACATATCTTTTTGTGTAAAAAAGGAAATTAAAAAATTTACATTAACTACATTATTTGAATAATTATTATGAATAATTAAATGTTTTGATATTCAAAACATATTGTAGATATAAACGTGTAGCGTGAACACATTTCTCAATCAAGAGAATTTATTATTTTTAGTTGGAAAAACTCTTTCGGATTTCGATTTAATTTATAGAACTTTAAATGTATTAGTCGAGGCATATTATGAATTGTTATATTTAGTTTTTTGTCAAAATGTGTATAAAACCAATTGTTCATATATATGAGTAATAATTGTTCATTTTGCCAACATTAAATATTCTTTTAGACGTAAAGCATCGAACTTGCACATTTAATTCATCTGATCAGATATTACTCGTAAATCTAACAAGTTTCTGTGTTGTGCGCAGAAAAATTTAGAAATATTTCTTATGTCAGATTTTTTGTTTATGGTTATCATCATACTTTGAAGAAAAATCTGATGTGGACATAAGATGACTTCTTTGTACACCCTATTAAGTTATACAAATTTTTTCCAGCACATCATTTAAACATATTTCCTCGAATTTCATTAAAGATATATACTCTGTTCCAAACGTTTATAGACTCAACTATATTACGAGTTTCAGAAATTGGAAAGTAACAGAAACCCCAAATAAAAATCTGTTTATCTACATCACATGCGACTTGCATTCTAGCAAATAGTCAACCAAAATAGAATATTAATATTTTAACAAATTGCAATCAAATTCAAATTATTTAATACTTCAAAGTCGCTCTATTATTCCGTGTGGCCTCGAATACACGTTTCTCCATCGAGAGAACTAAGTTTTGTAATAACTATAGTTCCCCATTGTATCATGTACTCTCGATGGCTGCTTTTACGGCATTCACGGAAGAAAACTGCATTCCATTCTCGTAAACACTCCTAGACATACATACACTGGAAATGAATTAGAAACCCAAGATCAATATTTTATTGACCAACCTTTGCACGAGTAATTGCTCTCATTAGTTTGGGCATCGAGTCCACATGCTTCTGGAGTGCATTCAAGTCCAGAGAATGCCATGCATTGGCTATGCAACTTTTTAGATCGTAAATCAGATGGAAGAGGCGAGTGTTGTCGTATGCGTCTATCCACCATATTGCACACATTTTCTATCGGGTTAAGATCCGCGCTATACGGTGGCTAGGGAAGGTGCGGAAGAAGTAGACGTCAGACTTATGATCATCGAACCAATTTTGAACACTTCTGCTACGATGTATAGTTGTATTATCATCCATGAAGTATCCGTCGTCATCAGAGTAAAAATGCAACATTGCAGGATGCACTTGATCTGCCAGTATAGCTAGGTATCTCATGGCTGTTTGTTTACCATCGAGGAACACCAGGGTAGCACTTACATGCCAGCAGAACATGCCCCATATCCTGATACTCCCACCAGACCAATGCACAGTGCAAGTAAAGCAAGATGGATTCATGGCATCATGGGGTTCTCGCCTAATTCGTAGTCTTCCATCAGTGCAAAATAAGGTGTAGCATGATTCATCCGACCACATTACCTGTTTCTAATCCTTAGATATCCAGTTTCTTCTTCCCCTACACCACTCCAAACGAATTCTTTCATGTCGGGCAGAAATGAGTGATTTTTCTCACAGGCACCCTACTATGTATTCCTATCGTCTGCAATTCTTTGCGCATAGTTCCAGCTGAAATCTGTTGGGAAGAGCTTTGGTTGACGATCAGTGTCAGTTAAAGTATAGTAGAATTTCGACGCCGATCACTCTCTTGGAAAACTATGTTTGAACCCCAGTTACGTCTTCTAGAGAAGGACTGTAGTTTCTAATTCCAACTTCTGGAAAACTTTGATATGGCTGCCTTTGAGAACCCATGAGTTTTGCCGTCTTCGAAATCGAGGCCTTAGCTAAACAGGCACCAACAATAAGCCCTTTAAGACACAATAAAACGCCGAATAAATACTAATTCAGAAGTCAAACAACAAAAATCAGCGTTATATTTTCAAAATTTTCACAGGACTAGTTTCGATGGTTTTACCGAACCACCATCCTCAGCTGCAAAACCGAAAATGAACAAGAAAGGAAATAATGATTAGATAAGATAAGAAAGCCTGGACAAGAATAAGCAAGTGGACGCCATCTGTTGGTGAAACCAGAACTAAAACATAATTTCTTTAAAGGCCGAAGGCAAAGATGGATTGGAATTAGGGTCGTTAACTAGAACAGAAAGATTTTTTTGAATGCGAAATACCTCTAGAAAATCCAGTTCACCAATGGAAGATGTTTTCTGAATAATTTTAGCAGTAGAAAAATTGAAAGTGTGATTTTCGGACCAACAATGTTGGGCAACAGAAGACTTCCGTGTTTCCTTTTTTCTAACATATGCCTCATGTTCCTTAACAACGCGAAATTTTAAGGCTCTCTTAGTTTGGCCAATGTAAATTAAACCACACTGGAAAGGAATCCTATAAATACCCCAGGAATTCATATCCGGAATGGGGTCATTGAGTATGAATTATTCAAAAAACATTTTCCATTGGAGAACTGGATTTTTCTAGAGGCATTTCACATTCAAAAAAATCTTTGTGTTCTAGTTAACGATCCTAATTCCAACCCATCTTTGCCTTCGACCTTTAAAGAAATTATGTTTTAGTTCTGGTTTCACCAACAGATGGCGCCACTTGCTTATTCTTGTCCAGGCTTTCTTATCTTATCTAATCATTATTTCCTATCTTGTTCATTTGCGGTTTTGCAGCTGAGGATGGTGGTTCGGTAAACCATCGAAACTAGTCCTGTGAAAATTTTGAAAATGTAACGGTGATTTTTGTTGTTTGATTTCTGAATTAATAAGCCCTTTATCAAATGTTGAAAGATCTGTCGTTTTTTCCATTTTACTTCATTCATCATGAAAAGCTTTCTTACACCTTACTTATACTAGCATTGTAACCACGTATAATCGACGTCAAAAAAATTGCATATATCATCTCTAGCACGCATTCAAATGAAAATCTCAAAGGTTTCTAATTCATTGGTCAGTGTGTGTAATACCACACACATTCTCGAACGGGTTAAAATAGGGGCCCATTGGTGGCCACTCAAGAATAGTGACATGTTCCATGTCTAAGTAATTTTTTATAGTATTAGTGGTATGAATGTGAACATTGCCATGCTGGTACACCCAATTCTGTCCTCCATTGTTCTGCAAATGCCATAAGATGGTTTCTTAGCGTTTCTATGTATTTATACGAATCTTGCCGACCATCTAGAAAGGTGAAACCCACTGGCCTGTTGAAACCTAAACCTGACCATACTATAACAGATCTACCTTCAATGTTCCTAGTGAAGTACCTCAGAGGCTCTTTTCGTAAGTTATACCAGTAATATGAACACCCTTCAGGATCATCTATATTCCATTCTTTTTATCATTGAAAATTGAAGAGATCTATTTATCACCATATGCCATGTGGTTGCAGATCCACTTTCTTTTCTTTTCACCATCGACGGAACAGCTGGCCCACTGGGTTAGGTGCTTTTCAGCCTGTTGGATCCCGTCGATGGAATTAAAAATAAATACATGAATAAACATAAATAAAGAGCTTAGTCCTGTGTCCTCCGGGGATTGGCCACGAAACGAGGAACATTGAAATAAGGACCAGAACATGGAAAGAAGGTGCAGGGTGGGGAATGCTGAGACCAAGCGGAACACTTTTCGCTATTATCGTACATGTTAGGTATACAGTTATGTTAAGGATGTGCTATAAAAATCAGGTACAGATGTAAAGATGATCAAATACATTACAAATTGTGGAACACATTAAATGAGTTCTGGATTAATCATATATTAATATTAAATATAATTAAAAACAGCAAAAACAGAAAAAAATACAAGACATTAAGTAAATTAATATATGTACAGAGCAGGCTGCTGACGGCACGGTGTCCGAAGAAAGTATTCACTCCAGATTGTCAGCAATGCTTTTAGCAATGGTAGTGCAGTCTCTAATGCGGCTGCAACCTCTTTCGTTTGTGAAGCTTTGAGAGCGGTAATGATTGAGCTATATTTACGTGAATCATATAACCAGATTCCTTGATTCGTCTATGAAGAGTGTTTTGGATATTTGCAATCCACAAGCCCTTGTAATTTGGCAAACTGACTTCTGTGCCAATGCCATTGTTTGTATTTGCCTATAGCTGCGACTATCCAACACTTGGGGGTCTTCCCGAAGTTGGTTTCGGCTGATGGGCCGTCTTACGAGACATTATATAATAAATTATGCTCACATATCGATTCAGAAGTTTCAAATTTTATCAGATCATCTACCGTGCAATTTAAAGTTCAGAATCCTGTTAACTT